CTGTAGGTGTAGAGGTAAGGTACGCCTTCAAATTTTATCACGGTATATAATTTTGATGTAAATGTTCTTAGATATGAAAATCTTGAAAATAGACGGTGTAGATAATATGTTGTAAAATGCACTATTTTTGAGATTTAAAATCCTTTTATTTTTCATAGCCATACATCTCAATGTCGAGATAATCAAACAAAAGGTTTTTCAACATTAAAACTACTTCTTCCGATGAATTTTTGAGGGGCATCCGTAGTTCTACATTATAAGGTAGCATCCTTATATAAACTTATTCCTTTAGAAATTGCTACAACAAAGGAACCGTGATAAAGAGATAATTTATCATAGTTGAGATACTGAGATAAAGGGTATCTCATAGTGACGAAGAAGATGTTGTAGCCGTGAGGGGAAGAAGAACAGAAGAGCAACGTTTGAGCTGTTGGTGAATCTTGATTTGGCTCGTTATGAGATGTGCGAGCACCCTTAGGGCTCGCAGTAGGTGGAGAAAATTTAAGCATGGGGAGAAAGTCTACAGACTGGTTGTTGGATTCCTTGAATTCTTGATACAAAAAAGGTGATTCATGAAAAATGAATTCCTTGGTTACATGGATTGTATAGCTTTTGAGATTATACAGTTTGTAGCATTTTTTACCATAAGGACAGCCAAACGAAAAATACATTTTCGGGCCGTTGGTCAAATTTGTCTTGTGGGATGCTAGATTTGTGGCATATAGCGCAGACAACCAAAAAACCTAAAATGATTGTAGGTGGGAGGTTTATTGAAGCGGACCTCGGGTTTTTGTTTTAAGCACAGGCATGGATTATCGGTTTATTAAGTATATGGCTTTAAGGGGACAAGCTCTTGAAAAACGACGAGCTTGAATAACTTCAAGAATGTGCAGCGTTAAATTCTGGTTAAAAGAACTCTTAAAAACCTCAATTCTGAGCCCGAAGAAAAAAAAAACCTTGATAAATTATCGGAAACTTAGACCCAATACAATTATCCTAAAATTGCTCAAAACCTATCCCAAGTTAAAGTAGATCTCGAGAGATTTCTAACGGTCCAAGAATCATCTAAATCGGATTTACGGTTAAAAAAGAAATAGAAAGTGACAATTTGGTCCTTGTGAGACCTAAGTGTCGGCCTCAGGGTAGGCCTTGACGTGGCCCGGCAATCCCAGACACGGCTTGATGATGCAGTAAAAGTGTGTTTTTTTTATTAGATAAAATCAAAAGATCAAGATAAATAAATAAAAAAAACTAAAAAAATCCCAAACAAATCAAGAAAAATAACCAACTGAAGCCTATAAATACTGCCCTCCATAACCAAAAAGAGAGCTCGGAAATCCTTAGAAAATAGGACACAATTACCAAAATTAGGAAAAAAGCCCAAAAATATCAAAAAATTAGAAATTTTTTTAAAAAATGGCTAAAAAAATTAGAAAATATCTCAAAAAATCCCTAAAAATCCTAGAATTCATATTTGACCTTAGGAGATCCCAAAACTCTTAGAAAACTAAAGAAATTCTCCTCTAATCTCAAGAAAAGCCTAGATAGACCCTACCTAAAATTCTCAACTTTTTCCCTACCTTAAGAACCCTAGAGCTAAGTCAAAGAACCTTAGATCTACCAATTCCAACAAGCAAATATATCCAAATCAAAAGAGCAGCTTAATCCAAGCCTGAAACTCAAGGTTTTGAGTCCTTAGAGGTATGCATTTATTTATTTGCTTAATTTAGTTTTTTTATTCATTTAATTCTATACTTTATTTTTCTCAAAAATAATTTATTATTAGATTTAATTAAATTTAGAAGCATTTTTTAAGGTCAAAATACAAATTCTGTACAGATCGGAGATTTTTCTGAGCCCATAATTCAATCGACCCCACTTTCTCTGCATTGTTCAAATTTAATTCATTATTGCTAAGTTTTGAGCAGATCTCATCTCAGAGATTGGCGTAGATTGGAGCGTAAACAGTTGGCGCCCACCCTGGGGCACTTGAGCTTCATATCTGTATTTTTATGTTAAAAAAAGCTTCTTCTTTTTTCTCATATTTATTTTTCAAAAAAAAAAAAGAATAAACAAAGAAAAACAAGATATATTTTTAAATATTTTCTGTTATTAGATTATATATTTCCTTTCTAGATCTTATCTTTTGTCTCTCCATAAACAATTTTGGACCTTTTTTCTCTCAATCTATATGATCTTTTAGACCAATCTTTATCATTTTTTAGATCTATCTTTTAGATTCTTTTTTAAAATCATCTTTATCATCTTTGTTTTTTTAGAACATCTTCAGATCCATCTTGATCATCTTTATCATGTTTTTTGGTTCATCTTTCATTCACGCTTATCATCTTTAGATCATCTTTTTCTTCTTTAGATTATCTTTATTTTCTTTAAAACATCTTTATCATCTTTTAGATCATCTTTATCTTCTTTAGAGCATTCTTTATCATGTTTTAAATCAATTGATCTTCTTTAAAAGTATCTTTATCTTCTTTTGAAGTATCTTTATCTTCTTTAGTAGCATCTTTATCTTCTTTAGATCATACTTATCTTCTTTAAGTACATCTTTATCTTTTTAGAATACATTTTTTTAAAAAGAATATTTTTTTCTTAAAAAACAACAAAAAGAAAAGGGCGATAATATTAAAAAAAGAGAGGAGATTTTTATGTATAGTCTTGGAGTTATTTCCATAGTTCATGGTGATTCACTTATTTAGTCTATTGCATAGTCTAGACCCTTTTGGATGACTAGACCTACAAGACCTTATGACTCAGTTCCCTAGGTCTACCTTGTCTCAGGTCAGTCGCTATCGAGTTTTAGTGAGTCCATAATTCCACACTCAGGGCTAAGCCTAGCTTGCCCATATGTAGTCCAGCCAAGCTGTGTTGTCTAGCAAGACTGCATGGCTCAAGCTACTCAAAACGATCAGGGCATTTGATTCGAGTTTAAAGAACTAGGATTGAACCCACTTTCATCTTCTAAGTCTAGGTCTCCAACTAGAGTTGCATCACCCACAAATGTCAAAACCTAAAGTTGATGCTGCCTAATTAGGGGCACATTATCCACCTCCTCAAAAGATCCATTCTAGGATCCACCAACTTAATAAG